TATTGGCGCATTTTACTTTTAAGAGTAGGGGCATTTTTTCATAAATTCATTTTTATTTACTTATGTTCCATTTAGTCCATATTATTTTTTTTATATTTCAATAAATCCTATGAGTGACATAGTTATCAAAACACCCCTAATAATATTTAGATTTACAATGTGAATGTTCTGTGATGTGAATGTTCACATCGACAATGTGAATGTTTATACCATCAATGTTAATATGTCAATGTGAACATGCACTCGTCAATGTGACTATTCACATTGTAAAATATGAATGTTCACATCACCAAATTGCTAATTGTTCAAAAAATATTTGTAAAGGTAGAAATGTCCATAAAATACTTTAAATATGAGAATTAGGATTTAGTAGATCAAATTTTCAAATAATAGGATTTATTGTATTATAAGAATATCTTATGGACTAATTGAGATACAAACACTTAAAAAATGATTTTATAATAAATCTCCTTTAAGAGTAATACTACAAATTTATCTTCATCAACTCATAAATTACATAGAAATTGATCTCCACCACACCTTACATAAATCCCATACTATATAAATTAATTTTCACCACACAATCACACCCAAAAAATTTTGGGTGGATACGTCTAAGTCCCTATACTTTTTCTATTTTTAATCCTACCTCCACCACCAGTAGTCGTCATTGTCCAATTTTTGCTACTTGTCGTAACCCAACCCCTACCCTGCCATCCCCCGTCCTATCCTCACCTACTCCCGCCATCCATACCCTAACCTTTCTAACCCTTCTTCTCCATCCCTTCTTACACTCTTCGCTTGCAACACGATATGCTGATAAATTTGTTAAAAAATATTACACAACTAATAAAATTTTTGATTTTTTCTTATTCGTAAATAATATGTAATAGTAGAAATTTAATATTTCAAACAAAACTCACTAAAACAATAACATTATTTTTTTTAGGGGTGCAACTCGGGCGAGTTTGGTAGGGTTGGAAGGTTGTCCAACCCCAACTCAAGTTGTGCTGAGACCTGCCCAAGCCCGCCCATGCCCAAATTGTAACTCGAGATTGTCTGTACAAGCTCGACCCGAGTTAAACTTGAATTTTCTGAGTTGCTTGAATTGTAAATAAATTTCAGTTTTTTTTTTTTTGGCTACATTATAAAATTATTAAAATTTGATTCTATTTACATTTTTTTTATTATAGAAAATCATTAATGCCATCAAAATAAATAATTTATGTAATGTAAGAGAGATGTCGCTATAGTAGTTTTTACAATTTATGAGTGGAAATAAAAAAAAAAGAGTAAGATTTTATGTTATTTGTATATATAATATATATTCAATATGATTTAATAATCTAAATTACTTTAATATCATGCAATGGCTAATAATTTATATGTATATTTAATATTTTTTATATATCTGTATATGTATAATTCGGGTTTCAGGTTGTTTGACGTCTTTGCCTAAGTCCTCCCAAATTTAATTCGGGTTTTAGAATTTTTTCCAAGCCCATACTGAATTTGAAAATATCTTGTCCAAGCCCTAAAAAAATTCATGCTCGGTTCGGATTGCTTGGGTTAATCCCGTCTAAGTTGCACCCCTAATTTTTTTAGTAGTATTTTTGGGCAAAATGTTATTAGTCAATGCACCAAGTGCATTGCTTTATATTAAGACTGGGGTGAAAATAATTTATGAATGATTAATACTACGGATCATGAAAAAAATATCATAAAATGTATCATGAAGATTTTTCATCTTTTGATTAGTGTGTGGTGTTTTATTATATATGTAATCCAAAAGTAGAGAATCTTTCATGATCATCATTATGATATTTTTTTTATGATACTTTATGAATAGGTAGAAGTTTTAAAAAGTGGTGTTTTAGTTAGGTTCGAACGTAACCAATTAAGAACTAAAGAAGTTTAATTTGTTGGACTAAATAAAGTAATAAATACGGTTTTTTGTTTTCTCTTTCTGTATCATATATTATAATATTTCACAAAAATCACTTTCAAAATAATGTGAAATTACACGCAAATAACACTTCAACATCTCCCAAACTATTTACAAACATTGAACAATACTTTTTACAAATTAATAGGTGTAAACACTAAATTATTAAAATAAAAATTAAAACTAAAAGAATGGTCAGCAATAATATATAGCAACGGGCTAACTCACCTTGAGCAACAATAGGATGAATGAATGTCGACAAAGAATTGGTTGTCGTTCGACAATGACCTAATTTACCATGGGAAAATAGGTTAAAGAGAAATGATTGGTACATTTTTGTGATATGAAAGAATGAGTGAATGTTAAAATAATTTTCTTGAGTGCAGTGGAATTATATCATTTTATAATGGGTTTTTCAAATTTAAATTTGCATGCTAAAGGTGAGATCTAATTTTATGTGTTAAATATTTATTAATTTATAAAGTTACACATGTGAGAAAAAGAAAATGTTAATTGATCTAATAATTGACAATAACTAATTCTTGAATAACTCAACAAAAACGCTCTTTAAAATGAGATTAGTTTTGGTATTGTGAGAGATGTAATGCAAATTGAGTTCTTTCAACCTTTTTAGTGAATATAAAAATAAATTAATAAGTATAAAAAGAAAAAATTTAAAATTTGTTACATACTTTTAATTGGGCTTGGATTGTCTCCAACTAGACCATCTAGTTTGGGTCACTTTGAGACCATTTAGATCATAAATTTGAATCGTTTATTTTGTAGAGTTTGCCGAGAAAATCATTTATACCAAAAAATTCAATTGATTTGATATCGGAAGCATCGGATCACATTTATTAAAAAAAATACTGTTCATTACTTTTTTCTTTCTTTTTTTACAATTATAAATTTAATTAAGTGACTATTGATATTTGATTAGCTTAATTTTTTATATGAATAATCTACTTGACAAGCTTTACAAAATAAACGGATTGCATTGCCAAAATGAGTGAGTCAGATAGACAATCAAGTCCCTTCATAAATTACATAAATAGGTGTTTGGAATGATTGTATATTTTTTAACTTTTTATGAAAAAATATATAAAAATAATTGAGTGTCTATCTATATGTTATATAAGCAAAAGAGAATTTTTAGTGAAAAGTCTTTTGAGAGTTTCAATATCTCATACTAATTTTCTTGATTTAATTAATTATTTTTTGTATAAGTTGGTTGGTCTTTTGACCTAGTCGATTATGTTGAACTATTTTCAGTTTGACTGATTCGTTGGTTTAACAGTGAGCTTAGCAGTTTTAGCAAAACATATTGGTTTAGATTGATTCGAAATAAATTAAAAATTGACTTAATTAAAGATTAAATGACTGATATTGTTTGATTCGAAATAAACTTTATTAATTTTTATTTTACACAATCCCACATTAAAAAAAGAGAGAAAAAGTGAGTGGTTTTAATTATAGAAAGTAAACATATGCTCATATTTAATATTATAGCGTTGTGCATATTTTAATTGAAAACAATTTAAATTTTAAAATAAAATAAAATTTAAAACTTTTAATTAATTAATTTTTGTATAAGTTAATTGGTCTTTTGACCGATTTTAATGATTTTATCAATATATCTTGTTTTATTTCTAAAAAGTATGTTTAAGTTTGGGAAAATTAGACTAAGGTCTCTCTCCCATTTTTAATAATGAAAGAGATCTATAATATTATTTTTTGATATCTAAGGTCCCTAAATCCCACACTTATCTATTACAAGGAAATTTGATACACCCCCAAACAACAAAACAACAAAACTTCAAAAATGTATTTGTAATTTTAAAAACTCGGTCGATTCGATCCATTTGCAAATCTCTTTTTATTTTTTATTTTAATAATTTTTTGATTCAAGAATGGAGCTCGATTCATCTATTATTTGTAAGTGTTTCCAAAAGTGCTCCAAATGGCACCAGAAGATCTATGAAGAATGGTTCATTTACTCTAATGCAGGTTGGTTTGTGTGAAGCAATCTCTCTCTCTTTCTCTGGATTTTTTCCTCCAAATTGATCCTTATTGATAAACTCATTTGGCGATGGACGCATTACGAAACGACGTGATCAGGTTCTTTTTTTTGGAGAGGTTATTTGATTGATGTTATTTATTTGGTTACTGAGAAAAAGAATTGCTAATTTGTTCTCATATTCAAGTAGTGGTGTTATTCTCTAGAAAGAGGTGATTTTCTCTAGGAAGAAATTTTCTAAAATTTCTTTGGACCAGAGAATTTCTCTAAACTCTGGATTGAATTTTCTCTAACTTGGATTAGAGAATTTTTTTAGATTGAATTTTTTCTGGTTTGATTTGAGGGACCTTAGATATTATGAAATATTGAATGTCCTTTATAGTATAAAATCTTAATACCAGGATCTTAAAAAAATCCCCTTTAAGTTTGACGACAAATTTTAACATAAATATTCATAAAATGAATTTATTTTTATTTTATCATAAATTTAATTTTTTAATTTATTCTATTCTTTTATTTTTTATTAATTAAATTATGATATTTATTTTTTATTGTGAACTTAAAATATAACTGCAATATATATTCTAATAAAATGGTTAACATTTAGGAGATGTTTGAGATAAACTAAATAAGTGATTTTTTGACTTTTTTTAGTTATGCCAAACCAAGTCTTAATTTAATTTATTCTACATTATTTTTTTATACTTTTTAAATAAATTTTATATTATTATTTAATTTTAAAATTAATTTTAATTATTTATTTAATCTGTACATTGCACAGATTCTCATATTAATTAATATGACGGAAATAAATATATTTATTTAGGATACATGAAACAGATTCTTAATTTAAGAAATTTAAAAAAATCCGGCAGAGGGAGAGAGGCATGTATCTTAAGATGAGGCTCGTGGTGGACACAGTTGGACTTTGAAGTGTGTGTACTAGCTTTCTTTCTCTCTAAAGCGTCGGTCACAGGTTTCGTACGTGCGGATGGTCGCGGTTCTCACGTGCCAAATCCACCTTGCTCTCATTGGATGTAGTGATGCCCCTTTAATACGAGCATCTATTACTCTCTCTCTCTCTCTCTCCTCGCAATCTCAAATCTGCATATAATGGAGGAGGAGGTTTTGTAGTTTCTCACTTTACAGCTCTACTTTGATTCCTCACAGCTCTAATCGCAAATCGAATTAAGGTCTGTGTTTCTTCTCTGATTCTATTTTTCTGTTTCTTTACAATTTTTTACTCAACAAAAAATTAACTGAATAATCAAAGAAAATGAGCTCACAAATTCGATTACTGTTCTTTATTTAGTTCAATATTTATGGTCTCTCGTCTCGATTTAAACCATACATTACGTGTTTTTGTCTTTAAATTTTGCATTCTAGTGTTTCCGTAGCTGTAGTATCTCCAACCCTGTAAATTTATATAATGTTTATATGCTAATAATTAGGGCTTTTAGGTTCAAAATTTTGAGAAATATCAAAGCTTGAATGGAATTGGGCCGGTTAGTTGGGTATTTTGTTTGTAATTGAGTTGAGGTTTGCTGAGACTCTTAATTGGGCTTGCAAGGGACTTGGAATTAACAAGTGAGTTGGGTGAAGGGATTCTAAGGTTGTTTTTTTGGAACTAGTCCACACTTCTTTTATTTTATTTTCTGATTCGATAGGTGAATTTATTTATTTATAAAGTTAAGTTGGACATAAGGCAAAACAAAAGACAGGAATCTAAGCATGTAACACAAGGGATTCGTGATGAAAACTAAGAGTGGGACAGCTATGCAGTACAAGCGAGCTGTAGTCAGCGAATGGGTTGAATCGATGGTGAGCAGCAGGTGAAGGTAGATAATAAAGGATAAACAGCGTGTGAATCTGTTTCCGGAATTATTTTACGGTGGCCCATAATTTGGCTACCATACTATTAGTCAAACCAATGCATTGTGCAAAACCCATAACCCAGTGGATAGATTGATCTCTAAAGACTCCTGCTAGGCTGGCTGGACCTGGTGGCCCAAGAGCACAAAAATTAGTTTAAGAAAATCCAACCCTGGAGGTGTCCATCTGACCAGGATTTTACACCGAGAGGGCAGAGGGTTCGTAGTGAAGCCTAGAAAGAAGTGTTCCATGTTTTGTTAAAGAATCATTTTAATTTGATGGTTGATAGACCTCGCCGAGTGCGAGAAAGCACTGAATTCAATCCTTAAAAGGAAGGACATTGTAGATTTTATGATTAACGGGTGGATGAAGTCAATTCCATATATGTATAGATTGCAGCCATACACAATCACAAGGGCATGTATATAACTTTCATCTGCTTGGTTACATTGGTGGTAAAGAAATGATGGGGAGATCCAGTTTAAACATGATCACACAAATATATGTGTGCAACGCTATAGAAATTATTTTTTGGGGGAGGGGGGGTAGTGTTTGTGCCAAAGCCAAGCAGGATACCACAAATTTGATCAAGTAAGGTAGGTGACAGTGTGTGAGTGAAAATATCAAGTTTTCATATTCCTATAGTTGTAAGAAGGTCTTTGATTTGGAGAGTTTCCCATGCAAAAAGGAGAGAGGCAATGAAAAGGTGGTGAAGGGGTCCTTGTGGGAGTCATTTGTCATACCAAAATGATTTGTATGAGTGAAAGCTGATTCTCCATTGGATGCCTATAAGAAGCGTTTCACGGGTTTTTAGAATTTGCTTCTAGAGAGAATTGTGTGTGGTTTTGGGCTGGGCTACCCAGAAGGAAGAAAAGAATGAGAAAAGTATTTATATTTTAAAAACTGGGCCCAAAAAGAATGAGGATGAACCCAAAGTCTCCATGCAAGATTAAAATAAGCTTGTTCTAAAGCCTTGTTTTCTTGAACCCCAACCCTCTATCTATTTTGGGGGAAGTAACAATGTTCCGGTTTAAAATAAGTTGAAGCTCGTCCCCTAACATGAGTAGAATGAGGCAAGAATATTTGATGGCATAAGACAATCTTTGTGGTGGCACAACAAAAAAGTGGATATCATCCGCTAAATATGAGTGCGAGTCGCCTAATCCTCCTTTTGACACTTCAATAGGGTGAAGTTTGTGAACTTCACAAGCAGAAGTAAGATCAAGTGAGAGCTAGTTGATCCATAAAATGAAAATATATGGTGATAAGGGTCCCCTTGTCTAACACCATAGGTTGGAAGAAAAAAAAGAGTGGATGGCATACTATTCCAATGAATAGAGAAAGAGACCGTAGAGACAAATAGCATCACAAGATTAGTAAAGTGCTTGGGAAGACCAAGTTGGGCAAGTGTTCCATGAATAAAAGTCCATGAAAGGCTATCAAACGTTTTATTGAGATTGAGTTTTGCTGCAAGGAGGCTTCCTTTCCCATGTTTTTTGGATATGTTGTGCATGATTTATGGGGGGGCATCAATCAAGATTTTTAGGAAGCTCGCTAGAAAAGGCGAATGAGAGACTCAATCAACGGTTTTGAGCATGAGATGCATTTTTCGAAATGAGCATCACATTTGTATTATTTAGTCCTTTTGGAATTGAGCATGAATAAAGATGTGGCAAATAGTAGAGTAAATAACATGATCAATGATCGGCTAACACCTTCAAAAGAATCCAAAGTGATAACCATTCGATGTTGCATCACACAATTCATAGAAGTGCATCAAAAGCTTTACAAAGTTCTCCATTGAATTAAAGGCATAAACTTTGTTTTATACAGACTACGGATATTTCCTTCACCAACTAGAGTAGGATTTCTAAAAAGGAATCAAGATTTTTGACCTCTAAAAATCTATTTAAGACCAAATAAAACTTATAAATAATATTCAATACAATAAAGTACCAAAATATCCTGAAGGAATAAAACTTAATAAATCATGTAGAAAACTAAATACATTAATACTTGGTCTAAATTATCATAATGTAAGACTCTATTAAATTAAAATGTATTACCAAAATATGATGATTACTGTGATATGCACCTATGTAGCATGTTTTTCATTTATACCAGATGGAGATGATTCATGCAAGCCTAAAAACTTACTGATATTTGTAATTTACATTTGAAGATATTGTAATTTTTTGGAATCATTATCGTTTTAACTGTACGTTTTTTCCACTTCTTTTTTTGCAGGAATCTTTTTTTCATTTGCATATTTGGCTGCTGGATGGCATCATCAACCAGATAACTATATGTTCAAGGGTGAAGCCAGATGATTTATAGTAGCTTTATTATGCTTGAGCAGTCCCACAATGGGCATCTTTTCTATGAATTGTCAAATGCCATTGCTTCTTTACATTGTATTGCTTTCTGTTCTGATGAACAATACAAGAGCTCTCAGTCCTGATGGTATGGTGATATACTTTTGTGTGTGTTTTTGTGAGTCTTATTTATCCTTCTTTTTCCCTTGGTTACCAGTGATATGTTAGGTGGGGAAATTGTTTGATATTCTACATTCATACCCACAGTTCTTACTGATTTATTTATTTTGGAGACGATTTCCAAGTTTGCTTGCTAGTACTGGTATGTGGTATTGTCAAAATACCAGCCAACCAAACCAAGCCTTGAGTCCCATCAAATGGGGTTGACTACATGAATCCTTCTTCTCCACTCGATTCTATCAAAGGCCATTTGGTGTCAAATTAAGGTGGTGTTGTCAAAATATTAGGCGGAAATTATTGACAAACTAATCCAACAAAGAAGGTTGTTCTATGAAGCGTGAATATAGATACGGCCATATGGGATACAGATATAATATAATACGGATATAGCAATAAGAAAATATATGGATATGGCCACGTGGTACAACTAGGTTACATTCATAAAAAAAATATTTTTATAATTTTTAGTAGTGTATTATAAGAATAGTGAGAACCCATTCTTTCGGAATTATGTTTTAGTTTAAGAAGCAATATCCATTTTTCTTTTTTAATGTTTAGTAGGTCCTATAAAATATTTATTTCAATAAATCTAAACTCATTATATTACCCATTTGCTTTCCTTGTCAAAATTAAGAAAATTGATTTCAAATTATGGATACATTAAGTATCAGATATGTATCCATGAGTATTTGAGGAGCATCGGTGTCCGATATGGATTCGACTCTATTCTAGAACTATCCGTGCTTCATAGGTCATATTTTATAGTTCAATTTCATCACATCTTTTGGTTACTTTCTTTTTTATTTTTATTTTTATTTATTTATTTTTTCTTCTTCTTTTTATAGAAGAATGGTTATGTTCTATTTTTTTAGAAATCACTCTCCAAAACATGGTGAGAGAGTGATGGTTGCAAGCATTTGAATGGGTTAGCTGCTGATTGCATTTCTTCGGTCAGACCTTCAAATGAAAGATTCCATTTTTTTTATAAATTTTTTGGCAGTCTCTCTCTCTCTCTCTCTCTCTCTCTAGTTTTATTGTGATGGTATATGAAACCTTGCTTTTGCCTTGTAGGTGTGGTGCTTATAAACTTTAGGACAGCCATTGTGAGTTCAGATGGTGTCCTTCTTCAATGGAGACCAGAGGATCCTGATCCATGTGGGTGGAAAGGAATAAAATGTGATCCAAAAACCAAGAGAGTGATATCTTTGTGAGTTCCAAGGAAACATGATTTCAATCCTTGTTTGATGAGAATTATTTAATCGCTTGCCTTTGATAACTGCATCTAATCAAACTTAGCTCTATATAGAATGGAGTATTCCTTTGCTTTACAAATATGAAGTTTATTGAGATTTTGGTGCTACTTGTCATCGAACATATAGCTGAATATATAATGTATTAAGATTTTTTTTTATACTTTTCATCAAATGTATAACTTTGAAGTTCGTAAGAAAGAACAAAAGGATGATAAGAGGGTTTGCGTATGCTTTATCATTTGTTGGCTACTAGAATTATTTTTCTTATATAAAAGTGGTCAACTATCTGCGATGGTATGTTTATGTGAAGCATTAATGGTGTCCTTCTTATGGATTGTAGTGCAAATGAATTTGTAGGATGTCATTTGGAGCTCATACTTGAAATATTGGCATTATTGTAACTTTTGTTGTCATTTCAAATACTGAATGATATACTTGAGAATATCTTAGCGTTGTGTATAATACATGCCCAATTCATACTTTTGACTGCCAAATTGTTTTTTGTTCTTTATGATGCTATGACTGATTCAAGCTCTCTATGTATATCCCTTTTTTCTTCCCCCGATTAAGTAGTTAATGGTTTATTTGCACTTGGAAACCCTTTACAAATAAAGTCAAAGGGCAAGTACTCAATTGCTGTCATTTTATATGTATGTGGTTGCTTTTACCTAATCTTCAGATATTCCTATAATGTAATAGCTTGTGAGCGATTAACTACTGCATATCGTCTTATGAGACTAGAGTGTGGTGTTGACAACTAAAACAAGTGAGAATAAAGGTTATTGCCTTGAGTAGGAATCCTAGAATTTGTTTTTTGGCGTTGGAATAGTGTTACTATGCTTGGATTGTTTGTCAATGCTGAAATTCTGGGCAGGATTACTGCATATTGACTGTGGCTGTGGTTGTTATGAAATACAAAGGCTGTGTTTAGTAGAGTTTTGTCAAATTAATTCCACCCTCACATTCTAATGCTATGTTTGGTTTGAGTTTTCAAATCATAATTCCAAATCAATTTCAAAATACATTTTGAAAACATGTTTGGTAAACCAGATAATTTTTAAATTTTTGGTCTACCCGGTTGACCAGCTGGTTGACCGGAACAATACTCTTATTTTTTAATATATTTTTATTTTTATTATTATTATTATTTTTTTTTGCAATTGCCAATCGCCACCTTTTATTTGGAAAAAAAAAAATATTTCTTTTTTATATTTTTTAAATATAGAAATTATTTTTTTAGACCAAAATGACAAATTATTTTTTTTAATTGAATTTTAAAAAGAATTTGGTTGCCGTACCCGAATAAGCCAAACGTACCGGACCTTCTTTTGCTGTACCCGGTACGCGTACCGCCGTACCGGTACGCGTACCCGCACCCGGTAAGTACCCGGTACTCGTACGGCACTATTTTTGGAGTACCCGTGTTTCATAGATTTTCAATAGTGTTTTGAGTTGTGTGTTTGGTTATGAGTTATAAGTTTTTGAATTAAGTTTTGAAAACTTTTTTTAAAACTCATAACCAAACAACTTTTTTTATTTCACATGTCACATCAAAAATTCAAAACTCATAACCAAACAAAATTTTTCTTTTCAAATCATAATTCCAAAACTCACAAAATTAAAATACAATTCTATTCTCAAATCGTAATTTTAAAACTCTACCAAACACTGCCAAAGATATTCCATGAATGATATAAAACTAATTTTCACTGCTATAACTCCAAATATTCAAGGATTGTAGGTTCTATTACAGATCTAGAGTGTATGAAACCTCATTTATCTTATGTTATAGATTTCCTAACTGGAAAAAGGGAAAATGTTTCTGTTGCATTTTGTTTTGGAATATCCATGATTTTAACCTGCCTATTACTGGAAAGCTTTGCTGATTTTAGTCAATAGTTGTCTTGCCCCATCTTCTTCATGCTAGAATTTGACTTGTGCGAGAGTTCAGGCATATCTCCTATTAGATGTTTTCTTTTTTATAATAAATATTTTGTCCTTTACATATTTAATTCTTCTCTTTGGGCTTGTTTGGTTTGTATCTTAAGATACAATTTTTGAGAAAAATTTTCAAAAAAAATTGAAAATCACTTTACATCAATCAATCACTTTTTCTCTTTGCTCTCTCCTCTCTTCTCTCTCCTTCTCAATCATTTTTTCTTCACACACATCTACTCAACTATAACAAAATATCAAATCATCCCAAACTCCCAAGCACCAAAACTATTTTCAAAATATACAGCCAAACAAACCAAAAAAATTTCTGAACTCTCTCCCCAATTTTTTTTTTTGAAAATTTATCTCAAAACACAAACCAAAAACACCCTTTGTTTTACCAAAAATGTTTGTAATTGTGTTTTGTTTTGCATTATACGTATGATACAATATGAAATGTAGAAATAGATACATTGTATGATATTTGATTTGACTTCTGTAAATATGATTTAAATGATAATGTTAGGCATGCTTTCTATCTTTTATTATGCAGGAGCCTTCCTTATCACAAATTGAGTGGATCTATATCACCAGATATTGGGAAGCTAGAGCATTTGCAATTTCTGTATGTATTTGCAAGAATGTTTTTGTTTTTCTTGGTAGTTGATGCACATAAGCTTTCAAAGAAAGTCTCCTCCTTTAGCTGATACTATACTTTACATGTATTGTAGTGCTCTTCATGACAACAACTTCTATGGGACAATTCCTCCAGAATTGGGAAATTGTACAGAGTTGCGAGCACTGTAAGTAGTAGTTTTCTAATAAGAAACACATGCTTGTTTTTATTATTGCTGAATACAGCAGAAGAAATGATTTTAGCAATATTATTAGTTAATTTGTGATTTATATTTGAATGATGAATTCTTTTAGAATTATCTCAACTTTCATTATTCCATTGATTTTACAAGGATCTGCATCAAAATTCGTTAATTAGGCACTATTTTTTTTAAAAAAAAACTAATTGTTGTGATCTATTTAGAGCATTATGAATTTGATTTGGCCTTTAACAAGGACCTTTAATGTGATTAGTCTTTTGAAGATTGTTATGATTTGAGATCTTTTTTGGTATTGGCTGAATGAGTACTTTGTCAAATCTGCTGTGAAGCTACTTCATTTTTCTGCTCAAACTTGGCATTAGCTAAATGAGTTGATTTTTCTATTCCATTTTTCTGCTTAAGTTTTATGTTTGTATTTGCCCTTCCATTATGAAAGGAACAGGGAGAAAAAAAATATGAGAGCGTGAGTTGGGGAGGTTTTGTATCATCTGCAAATTTGGAAATTTGAGATTGTGGACCTCGGCAGAGAAATATTGATGCTGGTGGAATTGATACTTTAGACTCTCCATTACACTTGTTTTTCATTGTTCACCTTGGGATGGCCTGCACTGATCCCTTGAATCTGACAACCCAAATAGTTCTAGTTTTAGTTTGCTAGGCTCACAATAATGGAAACCGATAGTTTGCGCCTCATAGTTTAGATTTCTTTTGGTCAGATGAAGGTGGTTTATTATTTAAATTTTGTGCTTGTGAAAAGGAAACTGAATAGGTTTTGAGCATATAGGGAGGAGGTACACAAACCAAATAAGTTGTCTGTGTCAACTTTTCTTTTATTTCTGTACTGGTTGACCTCTCTGAGTTTCAATTTTAATGCATCTTCTTTACAGATATTTGCAGGGTAACTACTTAAGTGGATTAATTCCTAGTGATCTGGGAAATCTTTCAGTGCTTGAAAATCTGTAAGTTCTTTCTCTTATACAAATTAGTGGTTGCTGTTATGCATGGTCAGGAAATTAGTTTTAGTGAAGCGGCTGACAAATATCCTTTCAGTAAGGTAAGGTTGTGCCGAAACCTAGATTCAGATTATTCCAATTTAAAGATAAAAATTAGCTAAGCTTTATGGTTTTCATGGGTGTCTTTCTTCTAGAAGTGAGACACGTGGGTGTTTAAACCTAATTACCCTGTAGTCATGAACAACATGAAACTTGGTACTATGCATAATGGTTTTGAAAATCCTCTTTTCTTTTTGGGCTGTTGGAATTTACTATTGACAGTGAAAAAAAATTCTCGATGGGAATGAATATATTTCAGACAAACTGTGAAACATCATAATCAGAAACTGAAACTGGAACTCCGCTCATCTGAAGGTGGTTTTTCTTGGATTTATGGTATGGTCTTAACTCCAGTACATTCAAATGAAAAAGAAGGGAAATATACCATTTAGACAGTTTGAATTCTGTGAATTTTCATTACCGAACAAGAAAAATGTCAATTATTTCAACTTAAAGCGAATGATCTTTCGAAATGTCAAAACTATCCAATTGATAGCCCTCTATGGTGTGCTAGTTTTGACTTCTTTGAATTTGTTTCATATGGGTTCACAATTCGGCTTTGATCATTATGGACCGGTACCAAGATTGAGTCCTAGGCAAGTTGATAACAAAGCAAAATAGATGGGCACAATGAAAATGGCTCCTTTAGTGAAAAACAAAAATATTTCATGGCCATGGCTTATGAAAACCTTCACTATTACAAGAGGGGCATTCTGTCAGTACCGATAATCAGGGAGTCGATAAGCAAATTCCTGTGGATGTCTATTTTCCAGGCTGCCTCCCTAAACAAGTGGGAAGTATATACTATTGAATGAATGAAACCTAGAAAAATCAGGTCTGAGTAAATGAGAAATGCTGAGAATGAGGATTTAGTTTTCACTTATGAAATTTCATCTGAAGATATCTGTCCTTCAAGCAAGTGTGATTGGTAAAAACCTTGAAATTCTGGAAAGAAAGAAATTGCAGTGGCTTTTTCTTGGGTTAGAATGGTTCTCTACCATTGTTAGCTGGAAGGGAGGTGCTGACCAATAATAAGATACTATCACATTAGGAAGTCTGATTTGCTTTATTTAACATATTTATACCAATTGGTGCTGCATTAAAAAGTATTTCACTAGATAGGTGCTGGAAATCATTAAGGTGGTATCTCTTTAGGAAATCTGAGTCGGTTTAGCCATTTTTAAAACACACATGATTTGACATTGCACATTAAAACTAATTCAATATTACACCTCCTGTTGTGACAGGGATATCTCTAGTAACTCTCTAAGTGGATCTATTCCACTATCACTTGAGAAGTTGTTCAAGCTCTTAGCTCTGTGAGTAGGCCAACTTCCTTCATGATTACTGTTTGATTGATTTCATTGAGCCTGAAATTAATTGTTACAATCTTATTTAATGTATGAAGAAACGTGTCGACCAATTTTTTGGTTGGGCCAATTCCATCTGATGGTGTGCTTATCAACTTCACGGAGAGCTCGTAAGTACAAAGCGTTGATTTTATTCCCTTGTCATCAAAGATCTGTTATGTTTACATTCTGTAACTTGACATATAATGTGGTTCCTTGTATTGTTTGTTTGCATATTTTTTCAATAATTGCTTTTGTGTGGCGTGCATGTAATTGTGTAATACCGATGAGACTCCTAATTTTAGAACATCTTTTTGAGTATGTTTAATTGTTTTTTTTTTGCTTTTTTGTTTTTTGTTTTTTGGGTATGTTTTATGGTTTTCATGATTCTTGTGATCATGATTGAACATCATTCTAGTGCCTAAAGAGCTGCAAGACATTGTCATGCTATACAGTTTTAATATAAAGCACTTGTGCAGCTTTGTGGGTAATCGTGGTTTGTGTGGGAAACAAGTCAACAAGAGATGCGATGAGGCTGGAGGTCCTGCATCAGACTCCCAACCCTCTTCAGGTAAACCTTTGTAAGAAAGTGGCTGTATAGCATTCTATACAAAACCAAGGCTTTTTTTTTTTTTTAATTTAAATTTTTTGAAGTCAATGACCATAAAAGCCTCAATTTATATGGTCAAGGAATTGAAAATTTTGCTGTATGTATGGCTACGGTGTGACCTCTTTAATACTGTCAAGTAGGAGGAGCTCATTTATGACATTGACAGTCCTCCAAACCAAAGTTTTTAAAGGTGAATGCATACTTTAAGGCGTTTTACCCTCATGAGGTGAGGCGTAAGCCTCAGGGCGTTGAGGCGTAAGCATTTCAAATTTTAATATTTAGTGAATAAATTAAATATTTTAAAATAGTAGAAAAAATAAAAACAATTAAATATAAAGGGGTAAATACTTCTCTCCTTGAGGTTCTGAACATTCTACTACATAAAAAGGAAGTTTTCCTTTATTGAAAGTGAAATTGATATTCTTGACTTTAGTGATTGAGCTTTTCACTTGACCATTAACTGTGTTTTTTTTTATTTATTGATCATTTACTTATTTTTTCCTGTAGAATATAGTTGCAAAAAGGGTTTCTTTTTATTTTTTTATGTTTAAACAATCTAATAGACTATGTTTAACAAAAGCCCAAGGCAACTTTTGCATGTGCGTACTCCTCACATGCTTATGCGCAAAAAACATACAAATTGCACTTAAGGCGCATGTCTCAAATTGTGATTCACAAGCCTTTGGGGAGCAATGCCTAAAAATCAAAGTCCTGATAAATTTTACCTTAGCCTCGAGGCGAGGCGAGCATCGAGGCAAGTCTTAAGAAAACTTTTAAAACTCTGCTCCAAACATTCCCGGAAATGTGTTGTATATGCCTCAAAACATGTCTGTCTAGTGTTTTATTTTATAGAACAGTGACACATGTTGAGCTTGTGGCAAATATCTTTTATACAAAGTAAGAATATTTATACGTGTCAGAAGCAATATCGATATTAAGAGGAGTCGTAGCAGTAATATCTTTAATATACTAGTGGTGTGGCATGCAGTGCACCTCATCCTATGCAATCTTCTTGTTTTAATTAATATTTTATGCTGCTGTTTATGTATTTGTAGTACAAAACCAAGGGAAGAAAAAATACTCTGGGCGACTACTTATAAGTACATCTGCTACTGTGGGTGCACTACTTTTGGTGGCATTGATGTGTTTTTGGGGCTGCTTTCTTTATAAGAAACTTGGTAAAAACGATGGTAGAGGCCTTGCAATGGATGTCAGTGGAGGTGATTCTCTCATTATTACTACTTCACGAGTTATCATTTGAAAGCATTCTCTTGCTGTTTTCAGTTACATCTTTGTGCTTGTATATTCCAATAATTCGACCATATACATTTACAAAGTCTTATTGCTTCAGGCGCATCAATCGTGATGTTTCATGGAGACTTGCCATATTCTTCGAAGGATATCATTAAGAAATTGGAGACTTTGAATGAGGAACATATAATTGGTTCAGGGGGCTTTGGGACAGTGTACAGGCTTGCAATGGATGATGGTAGTGTATTTGCTTTGAAAAGAATTTTAAAGATGAATGAGGGCTTTGATCGCTTTTTTGAGAGGGAGCTTGAGATTCTTGGAAGTATAAAGCATCGGTACCTAGTGAATTTGCGGGGATATTGCAATTCTTCAACATCAAAACTGTTAATTTATGATTTCTTAGCTGGTGGTAGCCTAGATGAAGCTCTTCATGGTGAGATCTGTTTTTCTCTTATGTTTATCTTTATTAGACACGTGTGATTTGATAGGACATGCATACTTGTGCGTACACAAATTTTCATTTTTGTTATGTTGTAGAAACATGGAAATTTTCAGGTTTGGAGGCATGTTAGCCATCTTCCAGAAAGTCAATTTACGAAGCTAATAGAACATGTTAATTTCCAATCAGAGAATTAACCTTATAAGACACATATAGCAGACCATTTATCAACAGAAGGCTAGACCATTCTGAATTCTTGTCATGATTGTTTTGAATAAAGCTTAGTGCACTGTCTACACAGCCACTGTTCTTTCTTTGAAAATTCTAAAATTGAAGTTTTGAACTCTTTGATTACTTTGGCTTGTCCAGATTGTTTACAAATTTGTCAACCTTTAGACCATGATTTTTTTGCTACATGATTTTCGGGCACAATTTTGAGAACACTTCTGTCTTCATCAGAACAACATTCAAGGAGGCCAAGTCCACTTTTTTATTCTCTTCTTTGTATAGGCTTTCGGGGAACTTAAAATATTTTTAACAACTTCAGTATTTTTGACTAATTCTTAGGTAGCATCTAGATGGATGTATTTGAAATGAAGGGATATGAGTTTTGAGTCTATGGTGTATAGGAGCCTGGCCATTAAAAGATCATATCCAGTCTACAGGTGTATTTGTTTGAGTCTACAGAGATTTTCAGGTTCATAGGCATGCTAGCCATCTTTAACCATTTTAGCTAGTCTCCTCTCCATTTTGCTTCTCCAACAGGCTAGTCATCATGCTAGTTCTTTTACCTCTCACCCTCTTGGCTAGCTACATTTAGAGAGCCATTCCACACTAGCTAAATTTTAGAATTTAAAAAAAAAAATTCTTCGTGTCTCTCTTTCTCTATCCTTTCTTTTCTCATTGGAGAATGCAACTTAAAAAAGAATAATTTTTAAAATAATTAGCTAAAATAAAGAACCTTGTTGGAGTACATGCATAAAAAAGTGGCTAGCCAAAACAGATATTGTACTTTTTGATATACTTTTGCTAGGCAAAATACCTTATAGTGTTGGAGATGCTCAATATGATTGACTTTGTATTTTTCTTTTGATAACAGAAAACAAAGTTTGCCTTGAGTTGCTTGCCTAATGGATTACTTGTGTCAATAGATATGTCTAGAACAACTACCTAGTCTAACGATGAAATAGAAAAGCAAAAATATTGCTGATACCGTAAATAAAACATAGTGGAAGCCAAGCTAATTTGGTGTTACACTGTTACTTTTCTATAAAAGATCAAATTAAATTCTCTGAAGCCTGCTTCTAATGCCTCTCTTTGACTAAAAATTGAGTAGACTCCTTTTGACAGCTTGACTTGCTTTGACTGTGTTGGGCTGGAAATCCTACCCATCTCATCATAAGAAAGGTGTGGTAAAAATCTTTTGCAAGTGTCACCCAGTACCAAAAGATAAAAAATGGAGTTATTTCCCGTAAATAAAACATGGTGGAAGCCAAGCTAATTTGGTGTTACACTGTTACTTTTCTCTAAAAGATCAAATTAAGTTCTCTGAATGCCCCTCTTTGACCAAAAATTGAGTAGACTCCTTTTGACAGCTTGACTTGCTTTGACTGTGTTGGGCTGGAAATCCTGCCCATCTCATCATGAGAAAGGTGTGGTAAAAATCTTTTGTGCTCATCTCATCAGGTGGTTCTCTAGATGGATTTGAATGGAACTTCTTCATTCCATGTTAACAATTATATTATCATTCATTTTCTGTAGCTCTGAATGAAGATGTGCAATTATTTGATACCTTTAACAAGTTATCATGATGTATCAGCAGATATCTTACAATATTCCAGATATGCAAACAAATGATATTACAAAATCTGAAGCTCTCAGTTTTATTTGGATTCCATATTGGCCAAAAAATTGTTCTGGATTCATTTGTTGCTGTTTAATTCATGTGATGCCTAGTAGGCTAGTGGAATTTATGATATATTTTGATTTTGAGATGTGCAACTTTCATCACCTATGGCTTTTCTCTTCACAATATTGCAACACTGCAGTCTGTAAATTTGCTGCTTGAATATATGGAAAACATTGTTTTGTTCTGCTGGTATGTGCAGAGAGATCTGAGCAGCTGGACTGGGATACACGACTAAATATCATCATGGGAGCTGCAAAAGGGCTGGCATACTTGCACCATGATTGTTCCCCACGAATTATACATCGTGACATAAAGTCAAGTAACATTTTGCTTGATGGGAATTTTGAGGCTCGAGTATCTGACTTTGGATTAGCCAAATTATTAGAAGATGAGGAATCTCACATTACGACCATTGTAGCTGGAACATTTGGGTATCTGGCTCCAGGTAAGGCAATTTAAATTACAGCTGACACTCAAATGCTCAAAACTTTATTAATGAGATTGTTAGTGGTTAATACTACTCTTGATGTTGGTTTCACTAAGACTGATGTGGGGCAGTCTGATAGGTGGGTTTGAGGCTACCCTGCCTAATTACATAATAAAATTGGGAAAGCAAACTAGATGACATGAGGATAAAATAGGACTCAAATAAAACCAAAATTCAACTGTACGAGGTCCTAACTGGATATCCTGACTTGATATCAATAAATTTTCAAATTTTGCTGCTTCTTTAAATTCACTTTTTTTTGTTATTTATTTATAGTTTTAATGGACTGCATCAAAGTTGTCAGGAAGACGCATTAGTTATGATGTTGACTTTATGTCAATTTGGTTCTGGTCACGAAAAGTTCTCTCATACACTAACTAATCTATATAATGGGTCAGGCTAGGTAATCTCAAAGGCAAGGGAGTAGTGAAGAAATTGACTATTAATTTTTTCTGTTACTTCATTATTAAAGAATTTGAGATAATTTTGTGTGCGCACTTTGAGAATGAAAAGAATAATGTGGGTGCCTTCTGGATTTAAGATATTGAACAATGTACCTCATATGATAAAATCTGCTGTTTCAGTTTTTGACTCTCAATTGAACTTGAGAAGCAGCAGGCATGTGGAGCACTGGCGCAAGTTTTTTCTATTTTGTAATGCTGTATTATAGCTACTGTGATTTTTGTAGAAGCATTCAAAGTTGTCTATTCTGAATTGCGTGTATTACTTCACTGGCAGAATATATGCAAAGCGGTAGAGCAACAGAAAAGACTGATGTTTATAGTTTTGGGGTTCTGGTTCTTGAAGTAGTGAGTGGAAAGCGACCCACTGATGCAGCATTTATTGAGAAGGGCTTCAACATTGTTGGCTGGGTACTTCTCTTCCCTACACGTGTTTACACTGCTTTCATTCAAATATGTATGACATGATTGTGGAGTTCACAAGGCGCATTAAGCTTCTTATTTTCCTTGATTAATGATTTCATATGAATCTTCAGAAGATCAGAGGTTCCAGCCTCCAGATCACCAATCTCTTGTTTTGAAGGGAAAAAAAACAGAATTCCAGAGATGTTAATTTAATAGATAATAGTGAGTTCACTTGGTACAGTTTATAGCACCTTGACATGACTGACTTTCAGATATGTTTCTTCTACTATGCACGTGCACATTCTGAGATTTGCATTTGTAACAGTCACATCTGTTGATAAACTGTTATGTTTTTTTGCAGTTGAATTTTCTAGTCACAGAGAGTAAACAACGGGAGATTGTTGATCTACATTGTGAAGGGGTTCAGATTGAAAGTCTTGATGCCTTGCTCTCAGTTGCCATCCAGTGTGTGTCTTCAACTCCAGAGGAAAGGCCCACTATGCACAGGGTGGTACAAATACTTGAATCTGAGGTCATGACCCCTTGCCCAAGCGACTTATATGATTCCAACTCTGATTGATGCCCTGAAGAGACGATGAAGAATTTTTCGTGTCACTCTCTGCTGCTTCCTTGGAAAGTAGAGAAGTGATATAAGCAGTGAAAGGGGCTCCAATCTCTGTGAAGGTTCATTCTTTTACCCCTAATTTATTCATTCTTTCTGCATATTAATGACAGATGGCCCCTTTCATCTGTTCCCATTGTCCTAGTTGTCTATGGAGTTGGTGGTTTGTCGTGAATGGCATTACAGGTCAGTTTGGATGCATGCTCGGTTTTCTTTCTACTCATGAATGCAATTTCCACTTGTGAGAGTGATCTATTTCATCCTTTTTCTCCTTTCCTGTTCTCCTTTATATGTTTCTGTAATCCCTCTCTAGCTGTATTCCCAAATTAAATGTACATGACATTTTCTAAATTAGTTTATGCCATGTTTCAGAAAGATTGTTTGTTGTTGCCATTTTTGTATATTATTTTCGGATCACAATAATTGGTCCCCTTGGAAGAATATGCAAAATTATTTATTTATATGTTTAGTTTTGCCAATTTGGTATGCACTTTTTCTGTAAATATTGTATTCAGTGGCTTGTGTACTTAAATATTGTATTGATATATTCAAACAGAGTGCTTTAGATTTTTTTATTTTTTTTGGGAGTAAAGTCTGTTGGGGGGAAAAGAGGAAAAGTTACATTTTTATGTGAAAAGCAACAACTACCTTACAATCATTGTCATCGTCGCCATAAGTACCGACCTACAACTATTCATGCACACCATCTGCAGCAATGGTCACCCCCTCCTACCTCAGCACCACCACCCCTCTACCATCTATCACAACAACCATTATCCACTCCACCATCACTATGCCATTGTTGCATAACTGCCACTTCAATATCACAATATAAAACTTCATTACCACAATATAAAAATTGAAAGAAAATTTAGAAATCATTAATTTAAAAATTTTATCATTCAGTTTTCAGTATTTAAATTTAAAATTTTAATTTTATCAAACGCTACCTAACAAAACAACTAATAATTAAGGAGCACTGTCCTTTACAAAAGTGTTTCAAAATCATGCAATTCTTATCAAACTCAAAAATGAACATGGCACTATTCGAGCCAAGGTTCTCTCCTTGCAACTTTATACTTGCGCTCGTCCTTGCAGGCCTTCGGGTCTACTTTTAGGCCCAATTTTAATAATCCGAACCGTTTATATTTTATGATTTATTCAGTATATCATACCTGTAAAAAATCAAGTTGATCGGATATCAGAAAGCATGTGTTCGGAAAACTGTTTATTAAATTCTTTAAAAAATAGTTTTTAGTTCAATTTTTCGAACATACTTTCTGATATCTGATCAACTTGATTTTTTACAGGTATGATATACTGAATAAATCATAAAATATGAACGGTTCAGATTATCAAAATTGGACCTAAAAGTAGACCTGAAGGCCTGCAAGGACGAGTGCAAGCACAAAAACTGCAAGGAGAGGATCCTCATTCGGAACTATTCTCCCTCTGCTTTTCAATGTACTTTAAAAAAAAAACACAAAAAAACGCGAAACCAAAGGATAAATTAGAGCTGGCATTACTATATGTTGTGTAGATGTGTATATTCATATTCATAGAAACATGTTTGTATAATAAGTTATTCCATGGAATGGAATACAAATCTACACAAAAAATATAGGAAGAATTACATGTACACTTAAAAAATCAATAAAATATAGGTGGAACTATGCAATATGAACATATTTAGCATCAATACAGATCTGACCGTTGCAACAAAACATTTCAATTTGATTCCATCCAAAAGGTGCACTAATGTTGTTCATAACAACTCTTCCCACTATACCCCATTTACAAATAATGAACTAAATTCGGAGTCCAAAAGAGAATTATCTTTTGAATTTTATACACAGCAAATAAAACAAAACAAACTATTTTTCTTTCAAGATTTAGAAAACTTACAAGTATACACTCTTTAGAGCAAAGCGGCATAACAACAGAATGCAGAATTCAGGGTGATGAATTTGCTTCCATTGCCTTACTCGGTGGTGGAGCTTTATCTTGCCTTACTACATATGCAGAGGGAAACCATCCAGCTTCACCCTTGCATTCACCTTCAGACCATCCCGTAGGAGCCACCTGTTGAGCACCACCACCACAGAAGTTTAATAATGAGATTTACTCTATTTAATATAATATATAATTTATACAAATATAACACATATATATACAGTGTTTAAAATGAAATAAATAGCATATAGATGAAGATATAGCGTATAGATGAAGACTAGCATATAGCATATAGATGAAGACTATCCCAAAAATAAAGCAACAACAATAGCATATAGATGAAGACTAGCAGTGATGACAAGACTTGCCTGGCGAACTACAACATAGTCATCAACTGAAAGACTTAGTTCACCTTCTGCTTGAGCATCAAATGAGTGTATAACCTGTAAGACAGAGGGAAAAAAGCATACTTTAAAAGAAGGGAAAACAATGATGCCAACTTCATAGGTATTTTAAAGATTTTGAAAGCATCATGACACTTCAAAGTGAAAAAGATCCTTCTGCAAAAGGGCAAAGTCAACTTAAGCAAGTAAATAGTTTGAAAAATGGTAAACAATTCATGACACTAGAAGAAAAGTTTCCAAATTCTACCCTTGGGTAATGCAAACTCTGACTAACCTTGCACTTACCATTCAAAAGCTCAAGAGTAAATTTTAAAGTTTTAAAGACGTGTTTGCTCGAATTGAAAATGAGATGACTCTGGTCAATGCAGACAATATTGTCATAGCCAACACAAATGCAGTAACATAACTGGGCAGAGAATGACGAGCAAAGATATTATATCTTTCTACATTGCATGAAGAAGAGATGCTTTATGTTCTTAAGTTGATATTCAGAATAGTTGGCTACAAATTTAAAAAACATCAGCTGAACATGGTAAAATGATTTAAACTCGATAAAACAACTCTGAGACCAATTTCGGGATATGTGAAGTGAGCAACCATGAATGTATACAATTAAGCTGAAAAAAGTAGACGATTTCTAAAATTGAATTGACTCCAATGGAAAAAGTTCCACCTCATGTGCAGTAACAGATCCTAGAGAGTTCAAAGAGCTTACTTTCGCAATGAAGTAGGTATCATTTTGATGCTCATCTTGAGGAACATCAGGTCCATCTGAAATAGTATCATCAAGCACAGGTGAAACATCTGCATCTCTCTGCATAGTCACTGATTGCGATGAAGACTCGTTTAGTTGCTTCTCCAGTATCATCTAACTCCAATAATAAACAGTAGGCATCCAGTCATAATCTTTCCCACAGCAATGATAAATAAGAAGGTTTCTTTCCAGGAAGACAGATAAATCTTTTCCAGGAAAAGATAGAAAGTCATGGTGCACCATTACAAACCTCAGCATGTAGCTCATCCAAAGTGGCAATGATGTTTTGATGATAAGATTTCTCAGCACCCACCTGTAAGTGAAATTCATGTAAGGTCCTAACAACAACATTCAACTAAAAGGTCACGCTCAGAAAAATAAAATGCCTTAATCCAAATTGCCATTGTAAGAATGGAAACAAGAAACATCAATAAAAAGGGTTCTTCGTTCTTATTGCAAGTTTCTAATACCAATCAGGATTTTAATTCATTATAACAGACAGCTGAAATAATATATTCCTGGTTTTCAGGAACTCTGACAGCAAAGCCTTTCACCAAGCTATATGAGAATTTTATGAGTGGTCACTGGGTTGCATTTAAATATGACTAGTATTGACCAAAATCAATTTTCATGACACAATAGGAAAATTTAATAAGAAAAAACTAATACACCCTGCATATTCATTTTGAGAACAAAGGATATTTGCTACTGCATATGCGAACTTGGAAAATCCCTTTATTGAGGAACACAACAGCTGAATATACATTCTGACAACATTATTATTTTATTTATTTTTTGAGTGGAAGAAAAGGAGACAACATTGCAGCATATGTAATGAACTTCTAGTTATGCATATTACTGGATGCATATCAGCACAAACAATTAGCAAGCGAAGTTGGGAAGTTATGATGCCCCCATAACAAGTACTTGCAAGAGGCAAGTAACCTGCATACTAGTGACAAGCAAAATATATACAAAACAAAAATCTCAGACTAAATACCATGGTAAGAAGCTTTCGGAAAGTGGTCCTTTGCTGCTGATCCTCCACTGACAACATAGCAGTGATTGCTTCCCTTCCAAGGGCCATCAATGCAGACCTAAGTTCATTCAATTTTCTTTCTGCATTTTGAAGCTTTATTGAAATCTCTGCTGAAATGGAAGGATCTTTACACTTTGATTGACGCTTTATCACTTCAACTGCCTAGTAAAATGATATATTCAATATATCACTACCACCATTCCTCTAGTCTACCACAATACCACCAAATATACCCAGATGTGAAATCAAAGAGTACCTGTGCTTCCACTTCTTGGCGGAGTCTGTCATAACGATGAGTCAAATGGCGAGCATCCTCCAAAGGAGCTCCTGTTATTGATGCCCGTAATGGCTCAGAAACCTGCAAGTAATAAACAGGGTATAACCCCTCCCCCCCCAAAAAAAAAATTAAAAAAAAATACCACAGAAAAGAAAAGAAAAGAAAAGAAAAAAATTGGAGAACTCCAAATCTAAAAATATCATGTCATAGCATATATTCGCTCTTCATGCATTTTTAGGAAACAAACAAATGCACAAAGAAACAGATGTAAAATTCAGAAAGCTAGTGATGAAAACTTCAATTATGACTAAAAGTGACCAAAAGTAATTGTTTACTATTCCTAACGAGAAGATCCAACAAAATAACAATTAGCCAACATTTGCATTATAGCTGCAAGTAGAGAGCTGTGATAGAATATTCTACAGCTGTAATTGGACAAAACTTTTTAGTATTACAATTTGACCCCAATTAAAAACTTTTAATATTACAAACATGTCTGGGGCATATCTAGGCACGACACGTGTATTCTTGTTGTGTCGCCGACATGTCCACTGAAAAAATAATTTAAAAAAGTTCATACACAATATATGGCTGGCCAGTCTGAAGAGTGTCTGTGTCTGTTATGTGTCAGAGACAGATACAGGAACTAAAATGATGTGTCAGTGCTTCATAGCCTTCAACCTCATCAACAAAGCTGATTGAATGATGGAGGGCAACTAAGCACTAAAGAAAGACTCAAAAGCTTTGGTATCAAGCATAGCATAGTAAGTTATTTCACCCATTCCATTTGAATGCATGCGATATTGACCTTGATTTTCATGTGACTGGTCGTCAAATACCCCCTACCACAAAGCGAAAGACAGGTCCTCAAAGGCTAAAATTGGTATCACAATGGTCTCGTATAAATTAAAAAAGTGGCGATGTAACCTGACTACCAAGGATTCCGAGCATTGCCTCCCTCTCATTTTCCATTGATCTGTGTGAGGTACCAAACTGAAAAGCAACCCTTGCAAGAGGAGATCCGGCACTTTGATTCTCAGTCCCATACTTGCAACAATCTTCAGCTAATTTTCTTGCTACAAAATTCAAGGTCAAACATTTATATCTTCCCTCGGAACTGTGACGAAAACAATATAGAGAGAATTCGAACCACACTCACCAATCTCCATTTGTTTTTTGCCTGTTGAAATAAAACCTTCAACACCACGTACAATATCTTTTTGAAAATGCTGTGCAACATAATGCATTTTAAAACTTCGATCACATAAGAATTAATGTATTGGCTGAAGTTGTGACATGTGCAGAAGGATCCATTTATTAGATCAAACAAACGAACTTAATAAATCAAGAAATCACTTGGCAAGGATTCAATTATCTATACCTTAGCTGATCTTGTAGAAATGTAAAGATTTTGAAGTTGCTGGTGACACTGAAGTTCAGCATCATCAACCAAGGCAGCTTCATAACCTAAATGTCCCAACTGTCTCAGAATTGCCTGCCAAACAATGAACATTACACATGTTATGTCATGACAGGATCAAACCATCAGTAGTTAAAATATGAAAGCCGTGTCATGCTTGATAAACTTGGATACGACACATGTTTTCCCCTCTCCCATGAGTTGTACAAGAGGCCAACGTGGCTGAGTAAAAATTCATAGAATGGATAAACAAACAAACAAACAAAAATGTGAACCCAATTTTTATGTCATGATATTTTGAAGATCAAATCTCAAAATCAATACAAAAGATGCATCCACATTTGTCAAACTTCACTATAACAAACATGTTTTGCTCTCCCACTTATCATACAAGCAGTGACTTTAGCAGAGAAATCATTATTTCAATGGATAAGCTTTCTTTTCTTACTCTAGGCAGTAGGATAGGGAATTTGACGTGCAAGCCCCTATCTCATTCTACCCTCCCTCCCCCCCTCATTCAATTAGTTTCTGCTACCTATTTCAATTGCCTCTGCTTATCTTACTGTCAAATTCCATATCTCAGTGACTCAAAGAGGCGTGAAAACAAAATGTACTGTTATAGAAAATGAAAAGGAGATACAACTCCAGTTCCTTTGCAAATTTGTAAGATCTTTGATGCAAGAAAAATGGCTTGATCTGTATCGTAGTTGCAAGAATTCAACCAATTGGACACTGGAAAGTACAACACTCTGGACTTGTTAAATCCCCCAAACAAGTCCATACACAAAAACCTCAAATTCCCAATTCATCCAACTGATTTCAATAAAAAGTGAATCAAGATTTAACCAAAGAGTAGTGAAAACCCAACATAGTATGCACAGACATACTCATTTACGTACAACTCAATTAAGCAATTACGCCATTAACAACCACAATAATTAAGATCCTCCCTCAAACACGAAATCAAAAAGGACCACCAAAGCCTATCAGTACTCTTCCAACTGTTGAAATTGAAGAAGAAGACAAAAACCCATAATTCAAAAGTTCAAAATTCTCAGCAACCAAACAGGAAATTAAATCGAAGAAGAAGGTACCTGTTGCTGTTTGGCTACTTGTTCCCTTAGTTTGGTTGCTTGCTTTTTAATGGCCTCCATTGGGTATAAAGCTGTCTACTTTCGTTTCACAATTCCTTTATATGTGTGTGTACATATGTATAATTCATGTATATATGTGGGTATTTTGTATAGACAACAAAAAACTATAAGATTATTATTGTATATGGAGGAATTAGCGAAGCCCTTTCGTGCAGATCGACAGAGGACGAACAATCACAGACTCACAGCGTAGGTAACAACACTCGTCAACAGAGAGGATACCCAAAAAGCAGACTAAAAAGAAAGAGAGAGAGACAGAGAGAGAGGGTGTGTGTGCCAACAGTGAGTCTTTCGGCATATATGAAAAAGGTTTTTTTTTTCCACACTGTCAATGAGAGAGAATTTTTGGCATAAAGTTGTCTTTTTGTGAATTCGAAAAGTTCTGGGCTTTCTTGTTCTCCTATTATTCATCTTTTAATTCAAAAGAGAGAGAATACTCGGTTATTAGTTTCATTTTTAACTGTTTAGAGTAATAACAATCTGAAGGTCTATTCTTTTAGGGACAGGCTTCGTTTAGAACAGATTTTTTTAATAATTTTTTTATTTTTTGATTAAAATATAATATAAAAAAATTAATATATTTAAGATAGTTTTTTAACTTTTTATTAAAAGATGTACAAAAAATAGAGAGAAAAGAAAATTTTTAACTTTTTAATATAAATTGTTAGTTTTTTTTATATTTTTAAATAACTTTTTGCCTTTTTAACTAAAAAAATTACTTGGCAAACGAAGTCAACCAACAATAACAATTAAAAATGTGATGTTATCTTTATTGTGATGTTAGCTTTATTTATTTGCCTATTTATTTATTATTTACTTATTTACTTGTATCATTTATATTTTCACATATTGTCTATTTGCCTATTATACTTATTTATTTATATCACTACAATTATTACCGTCCATCGTTGGCATCGACCATTATTAGCGATTTTTTTGATTGTGATCCGATAGTCTAACGGTAATGGGGTCAAAATAATAATAACATCCTTCAAAATAATAACTAGTTCATCTCATCAAATAATTATATCCTTGTCATAGAATAAAAGCAAAACAATTCTTAGACCTAATGCCATACATATCAAAAAAATTGAATTTTTCACCAATTTTTCCAAGGAAATAAAGAGAATTATTTATTTATTTTTTATAACCAACAATGCTAAGATCATCAAATTTGTCACCAAGTCGTGTTCTAATCAATTGACCACGGGCTGCTCACGGGTCACGGGCCAATTTTACACTCTTATCAATGTTAATGTTAATATGTCAATGTGAATATTCACATTGTCAACGACCCAGGCCGGGCCCGCCCTGGGCAACGAACGGGTTTCGGGCCGCCCACGGGCCACGGGCCAATTTTACACTCCTATCAATGTGAATGTTAATATGTCAATGTGAATATTCACATTGTCAACGGGCCAGACCGGGTTCGCCCCGCGCCGCCCACGGGCTTCGTGCCGTCCATGGGACGCGAGTCAATTTTACACTCTTATCAATGTGAATGTTAACACGTCAATGTGAATATTCACATTGTCAACAGGCCGGGCCGGGCCCACCCCGGGCCGCCCACGAGCCGTGGGCTAGTTTCGAGCAGCCACGGGGCGCAGGCTAATTTTATATTCTTATCAATGTGAATGTTAACATGTCAATGTGAATATTCACATTATCAACGGGTCCGGCCGGGCTCGCCCAGGGCAGCCCACGAGTCGCGGGCGGGTTTCGGGTCGGCCACAGACCGCGGGCTAATTTTACGCTCCTATCAATGTGAATGTTAACATATCAATGTGAATATTCACATTGTCAATGAGCCGGGCCGGGCCCGGGCCCGGGCTTCGGGCTGCCTACGGGTCATGGGCCAATTTTACACTCTTGTCAATGTTATTGTTAATGTTAATATGTCAATGTGAATATTCACATTGTGAACGGGCCGGTCCGGGCCCGCCCCGGGCGGCGGGTTGGTTTCGGGCTGCCCACGGGCTGCAGGCCAATTTTACACTCCTATCAATGTGAATGTTAACTTGTCAATGTGAATATTCATATTATCAACAGGCCGAGCCGGGCCTATTTTTTTGGCCTGTGGGCCGGCCCGGCCCGGCCCAACTTGAATTTTTCCGGCACCCACGAGGATCGACATGGGCCGGGCCCCTACACATTGACGATATGAACATTTACGTTGACGGTGTGAACATTCACATTAAAGGTATTTTGGTAATTATGTCACCCATAGGACTGATTGAAATATAAGAAAATAATGTGAACTAAATGTAACATAAGTAGATGAAAAGGGTATTTTGGTCTTCTTATCTCAAATTGGACCTAATGGAATAGTCAAAAAGAATATGGGTTGGATGGAATAAAACTTTTAGAAAATGGATTTATCAAAAAAGCTCCCAAAAATTAATATATTTAAGATAGTTTTTTAACTTTTTATTAAAAGATGTACAAAAAATAGAGAGAAAAGAAAATTTTTAACTTTTTGATATAAATTGTTAATTTTTTTATATTTTTAAATAACTTTTTGACTTTTTAACTAAAAAAAATTACTTGCCAAACGAAGTCAACCAACAATAACAATTAAAAATGTGATGTTATCTTTATTGTGATGTTAGCTTTATTTATTTGCCTATTTATTTATTATTTACTTATTTACTTGTATCATTTATATTTTCACATATTGTCTATTTGTCTATTATACTTATTTATTTATATCACTACAATTATTACCGTCCATCGTTGGCATCGACCATTATTAGCGATTTTTTTGATTGTGATCCGATAGTCTAACGGTAATGGGGTCAAAATAATAATAACATCCTTCAAAATAATAACTAGTTCATCTCATCAAATAATTATATCCTTGTCATAGAATAAAAGCAAAACAATTCTGGGACCTAATGCCATACATATCAAAAAAAATTGAATTTTTCACCAATTTTTCCAAGGAAATAAAGAGAATTATTTATTTATTTTTTATAACCAACAATGTTAAGATCATCAAATTTGTCACCAAGTCGTGTTCTAATCAATTGACCAATTGATTGACATAGCTTAGAATTAACAGAGTTGGTTGATTGGCAAAGTTTTGAAACAAATTTTGTAAAATAATTTTCCTGACAACTAGACTTATTATTTTGCAACTTCCACACAATATGAAAGTATAGTAGAATATAAATTACCCAAAAGATTGCTTAATTGGTTAAGTGTTACGTGTCACTGCTGGATTAAACTCATCTATTATGAAATTATAGTTTGCTAAGCTAAATAAAAAAAAAATACTTAATATTTGATCAAAATACTCTGATCTTCTAAAATGTGAGATACACATAAACCTAAAAAACCAGGATAATGTGTTATATAATTATTTCTTGGGACTTTTATTGATAAATCTCATTTAGAAGTGTTTTAATCCAAAAAGTCTATGAAGAAATTTATTAACCCATTTAGTTCCATGTATGTATAGTTTTATTCCATAAAGTCTTTTTTATTGATTTACACTCTTTTTTTAGACTCTTATGCCTTTATATTTAATTTTGATACCCTTATAAATATTTTTTGAACGGTTAGCAATTTTATGATGTAAATATTCATATTTTAACATTCACATTGGTAAAAATATAAAATTGGCCCGTGGGCGGTCCGAAGATTGCCCTCGGGTTGGGGCGGGCCTGGTCCGTTGACAATGTGAATATTCACATTGACATGTTAACATTCACATTGATAGAAGTGTAAAATTGGCCATGGGCGGCTCGAAACCCACCCGTGGTCCGTGAGCTACTCGGGCCAGGCTCGACCGGGCCCGTTGACAATGTGAATATTCACATTAACATATTAACATTTACGTTGATAGGAGTGTAAAATTGACCCGTGGCCCGTAGGCGACCCGAAACCCGCCCGCGGGGCCGGCCTGGCCCGTTTACAATGTGAATATTCACATTGACATGTTAACATTCACATTGATAGGAATGTAAAATTGGTCCGCGGCCCGTGAGCGGCCCGAAACCCGCCCGTTGCCCGGGGCGGGGCGGGCTGTAAATATTCATATTTTAACATTCACATTGGTAAGATTGTAAAATTGACCCGTGGCCCATGGGCGGTCCGAAGCTCGCCCCCCGAGTCGGAGCGAGCCCGATCCATTGACAATGTAAATATTCACATTGACATGTTAACATTCACATTGATAGAAGTGTAAAATTGTCCCGCGGCCCCTGTGGGCTGCCCGGGGCGGGCCCGGCCTGGCCCGTTGACAATGTGAATATTCACATTAACATATTAACATTCACGTTGATAGGAGTGTAAAATTGACCCGCGACCCGTAGGCGGCCCGAAACTCGTCAGCGGGCCCGGCCCGGCCCGTTTACAATGTGAATATTTACATTGTCATGTTGACATTCACATTAATAAGAGTGTAAAATTGGCTCGCGGCTCGTGGGTGGCCCGAAACCCGCCTGTGGGCCCGGCCTGGGCCGTTTATAATGTGAATATTCACATTGACATGTTAACATTCACATTGATAGGAGTGTAAAATTGGCCCGCAGCCCATGGGCTGCCCGAAGCCCACCCGTTGCCCGGGGCGGGCGCGGGCTATAAATATTCATATTTTAACATTCACATTGGCAAGAATGTAAAATTGGCCCTTGGCCCGTAGGCGGTTCGAAGCTCCCCCCTGGGCCAGATCGGGCCCGGTCCGTTGACAATGTGAATATTCACATTGACATGTTAACATTCACATTGATAGAAGTGTAAAATTAGCCCGCGGCCCGTGGGCTGCCCGAGGCAGGCCCGGTTCGGCCCGTTGACAATGTGAATATTCACATTAACATATTAACATTCACGTTGATAGGAGTGTAAAATTGACCCGCGGCCCGTAGGCGGCCCGAAACCCGCCCGCGGGCTCTACCCGTTTACAATGTGAATATTCACATTGACATGTTAACATTAACATTGATAGGAGTGTAAAATTGGCCCGCAGCCCGGAGTGGGTTCGACCGGTTGACAATGTGAATATTCGCATTGATATGTTAATATTCACATTGATAGGAGTGTAAAATTGGCCCACCCGAAGCCCTCCCGCGGCCTGGGGCAAGCTCGTTTGGGCCCGAGCCTAGCCCGAGAACTTGGGCTAGGACCTGGGCCATCACTTTGAAGCTCAGCCCGCATAAGGCCCATTTAAGGCTCGGCCCGCCAGAGGCCCGGTGTCTTTTTTGTGGAAAATAATAAAATTTTGGGAGAAAAAATTAAAAAGAATTTAAAAAAATGGTGAGGCTCACCCAAGCCTAAGTCTAGGCCCATGCCCCTTGGCTTGACTCACCGGGGCACCC